AATTTTTAACATCATATTAATTTTGCACCCTTTCGTAGTACGAAAATAATGAAGGAGTTCCTGAATAATAATAGCGTTATCACAAGCTCTCCTATTTTTTATGAAACCGGATTGGAAAGGGCTGATGATGTGTGGGAGAAAGGGTTTGATCATGTTAGCTATGATCTTAGTAATGAGTTTGTAGCTAGTATTACACAATCCTATTGGTCTAAAATTTTTGATATTATTAGCATTGGAAACTTTTGTGATTAACCATAACAAAGTGTTATTAACAAGGTTAGGAATGACTTGTGTGTGAAAACATTGTGACAGAATTGGAATACTGAGGGGCCAACTATGTCCCAATATTTCTGATAAAAGAAGGGTGTAAGCCATTCGGCCCGGGAGCCTTGAAGGGTTTAAAAGCAAAGAGGGCATCCATAACTTCTTTCGTGCATAGAGGTCTGTCTAAGGACTAGAGATCAATTGATGAAAAATTTGTAGGGTCATTTTTAATACTTAACCAATTAGTCTTTGAGTAATCAATTGTGAACAATGATTGAAAATAGGTGAAAACATGATTTTGAATGGAGACTTAATCATTAATCCAGTGACCTTTATCATTTTGAAAAGAGACTATTTTATTCCTTCTCCTTCTATTGGTAGCGGATATGTGGAAAAATTTAGTATTGGTGTCACCCTCATTGATTCAAAGAATCCTAGACCGTAATTTTCAATAGTCCTCTTCCATTCGGAGGATAATTTTGTATTCCTCTTTTAGTTGGATCTCTAGGGTATGTAGAAAAGTGCTATAAGGATATTTAGGGGATTGTTGGATCCCTTGGAGTCTAGCAAGTATCTTACCTTTTTTTTAAAATGTCACCAAAAGTGTGAGACTTTCAAGATTGTATTTTATTAGTAAAGGTATTTGTAGCACTACATATGTTGTTATTCGTCCAGCTCTCCCTAACAATGTCTCTAAATTGAGGGTGGCTACACAAAGATCTAAAGGGTTTGGAGAGTTAAGCTCCTCATCGCATAAGTAAGAAAGTTCAGCTACAGAGGGTAAAGCGAGGGGCGGACGAGAGTTCTAATAATTCTCTTCCTTCCATACAGGTCTGCGAGCGTCTCATCTTTTTCTTACTTGAATGAAGAAAGACGGGAAGTAGTTTTAGGGATGAGTTCTACTAAGAGGGGGTTATGATCTGAGTAGGTTTTAGGTAAATGTATAACGGAGACTTTAGGGAATAAACTGAGCCACTCTTCATTAGCAAATATTTTATCAAGGCGTTCCATAATAAGACCTTTACTACTTTTATGGTTGGACCAAGTGTATTTGCACCCCTTAAACCCTAGGTCCATTAGTTGACAATTATTTAAATAATTCCAGAGGAAATTAGCACGTCTCCGATTTATAGGATTTCCACCAAATTTTTCGTTTACTGACATAACATCATTAAAATTGCCTCCTATTAACCAAGGACATTTGAAGTTTTCAAAAGTCGATAGAAGATTATTCCAAAGAATATTACGTAACGACCTATTAGTACTAGCATAAATGGAAGTAAATAACCAGATTCTATGTAAAGGGAGTATGTCACGACCCAAACCGCCGCACTGGTCGGGATGGCGCCTCTCGTGAAGATGAGGCCAGCCAACTAACCCATCTCGTCTTTTCAAAAATAGTTAAACATTAATAAGCAATTTAAATATGATTTAATGATATAACTAACGGAAGCACAAACCCGACACAGCCCTAATCGGGTGTCACCAGTCACGAGTATTAGAGTGTAAATCCAACTACAAGGTCTAAAATATACAAAACCGGAATAATGAAACAAGAGAGAGAGACGGTGCTGCGAACGCTGGCAGTCACCTTGCTAAACTACTACAGCTCTGCCTCCAAACAGCCAATACCCGCTACCGGGTGAATAAATACCTGCAACTGCACACGAGGTGCAGGGAGTAAAGTGAGTACTCCAACTCAGTGAGTAATAAAGGTAAATAACAACTGAGCAGTAAGAAATCACGTAAAGCAACCAACATGCTGTATAGAAGCAGGGTACAATCCTTTGAGAAAAACAGTGAAGCTGTGAAATCTTTGGAAATCTCTTGACTCAGTTTAAATCTCTTTTTAAAATGATCATTCCAACAGTTACGAAATGATTTCAAACAGTTAGTGCCGATAAGCACAGAAAAACCGCCCCTCGGGCACAAATATCACAGTATAACAGGTAAAAAGGGCAAGTAACTATGCAAGATGAGCACATAAAAGTTCGCCCCTCGGGCAATGTCTCAGAACAGTACCAGCCCCTCGAGCTCACTCGCAGAAACACTCTCAGCTCCTCGGGCTCTCTCTCTTAGATCACTCTCAGAACAGTATCATATAGTAACCGCTGCGGCGTGCAGCCCGATCCATAACTCGCTACGGCGTGCAGCCCGATTCATATATCGTCGACGGCGCTCACTGGGGGTGTGCAGACTCCGGGAGGTGCCCCTTACGGCCCAAGCGCAATATCAAGCCACCTCGTGGCATATAACATAAGGCCTGAAAGCCTCCTCACATCACACTCGAGGCCTGAAAGCCTCCTCACATCACACTCGAGGCCCGAAAGCCTCCTCACATCGCACTCGAGGCCTGAAAGCCTCCTCACATCGCACTCGAGGCCTGAAAGCCTCCTCACATCACACTCGAGGCCTGAAAGCCTCCTCACATCACACTCGAGGCCTGAAAGCCTCCTCACATATGGCCCTCGGCCTCACTTAGTCCAGAAAACATCATAAGCCCCTCAGGCAACAATAAAATAGTAGTGCTCAGCCCAAACAACATTGGAAATAGCATTTAAGTCTTAAAGTTCAATTAAAGCGGCTGACTTTGTAAAATAATATAATCAACAGGACTGAGTTCAAGTAGTATATCAAAATAGTGAGGAAACAGTGATAAAAATCCCCGAAGGGTTCAGATAATTGGCACGAAGCCCAAATATGGCAATAAGCCTAAATCATGATAATAACAAATAAGTTTCAGTCAAATACGCGGTAAAATCATCAATCGGGACAGACCAAGTCACAATCCCCCAACGGTGCTCTACCCCACGCTCACTATTCGGCGTGCAAGTCACCTCAAATAGCACTACGGTGTGCAAATCCGGGGTTTCAAACCCTAAGGATATCATTTAAAATCATTACTCACCTCGAACAGGCGAAATCTCTAGCTCGCGATGCCTTTGCCCCTCAAATCGGCCTCCACGCGCGTCGAATCTATCCAAAACCAGAACGAATACGTCACAATATGCCAATGGAATAATACCCAATCGAAAACAATCGAAAATTATTAAAAATCTCGAAATTAGCAAAACTCGAGCCCCAAGCCCACTTCTCGAAACTCGGAAATTTTCACATCAATACGTTCCTTATCTCCTCACGAGTTCATACATACCAAAATTTCTCAAATCCGACCTCAATGATCCTTCAAATCCCCAAATAAAATTTTAAAAATCTCAAACCCTAGTTCTTCAATTTTTAGGCTTAGCTTCCATGAATTTCTAGGTGGATTTCACAATATAGTCAAGTTTTAAGACCAAGATTCTTACCTCAAGTCGATTCCTTTTGAATCCCTCTTTCATCTCCTCCAAAAATCTCCAAAAACGAGCAGCCATGGGTGAAAATAGACCCAAAATTGCGAACAAGGCGACTTTAAAACATTCTGCCCAGCTTCAGGACTTCCTTCATCGCGTTCGCGACCTCAGCCTCGCGAACGCGAAGCACATTTTTATTTTATCCAAAATTAACCTTAAGCGAACGCGATACCCACACCGCGAACGCGATGCTTTATTCCTCATACCTACGTGAACGCGACTCACATGATGCGAACGTGAAGAGCAAATCCGCTGGACCCCAACTCCTTATACGCGAACGCGAGCAGGTCCATGCGAATGCGAAGCACAATATCTTAGCCTTCCGCGAATGCGAGTCTTCAAACGCAAACGTGAAGGCTTAAATTCCTGCCTTCCAATTTCCTTCTACGCGAACGCGAGGTCCTCTCGCGAACGCGAAGAGATAAATCTCTGCAACACCTGAACTGAAATTCTGCAACTTTTTAACTTAGAAAATAGTCCGATTGACCATCCGAAACTCACCCGAGGCCATCGGGACCTCAACTAAAAGATCCAACATATCCCAAAACCTCATTCAAACTTGTTGCAATCATCAAAACACCTCCAACAACATCAAATTACTCAAAACACATCGAATTCAAGCTTAAGTTTTCCAAAAACTTCTGAAACACGCATTCGATCAAATACCCAACCAAACGACGTCCGAATGACCCGAAATTTTGCGCACACATCAAAAATCACATAACGATGCTACAGCAACTCTCGGAATTCCATTCCGACTCCCGTATCAAAATCTCACCTATCAACCGGAAATCGCCAAAATACTAACTTCGCCAATTCAAGCCTAATTTTACACCGGACTTCCAAAACCAATTCCGATCATGCTCCTAAGTCATAAATCACCCAGCGAAGCTAACCAAATCATAAAAACTCTGATCCGAGCTCGTATACCAATAAGTCAACTCTTGGTCAAACCTTTCAAATTCCAAGCTTTCAACTGAAACTGTTCTTCCAAATTTTCCTGAAAACCAAAACCAATGATCTACATAGTCATAATACATAACACGGGGCAAGTCATGCCCGAGAACTGGGTGCAAAAGCTCAAAATGACCGGTCGGGTCGTTACAGAGTACCTCTATCATTGCATGAATTTCTTGATCCCTTCTAACAAAGCTATGCACAGTGACGATGGTGTGATCCCATAGAAACAACCATACCTCCTGCCTGACCCTCCGCTGGAACTTCGATCATGTCGGTAAACCCAAAATCATTTAGCAGAGGGAGATGAGAAGACATCCTGATTTCAAGAAGTGTAGCCAAGCATGGCTTGTGGGTGTCAACTAACTCCTAAAGTTTCTGCTGAAGTTTTCATTGTTACCCCTCCAAATGTTCCAGATTATAAAATTAGTGGTTCGATTCATGTTGATATTCATGGATGGATGATTCCCGTTTTCCATTACTATCCTCCCCCTTACTGGGTTCCTCCTTAGGAAGGGAACAAGGATCATTGCATAGGACCCTACAGTCGGATCCTGAGAGGGACGGATGTCCATTGAGCATTTGAAGAGTGCAGTTGGGCAGTTGAGAATATGCCTCTGCTATTGCATCTCCGTGAAGAGAAAAACTTTTACTTCGTTTAGGCTTGAAATTACAACTATCGGTTCCGGTATCAGGTTGACAACATCTTCTTGTTCTTCCACCATTGATTCTTCTGGGCCTTGTTCTAGCACTAGTGGTGGAAGTGAGTGAACTAGAGGTTGTTGTGCCATTGGTGGTGGATGATGAGGCATGGGTGGGTGCTGTGGTGGTATTTGAGGGGGGTGAGCAGTGTTTGGAACTCAATTGTTCTGGGAGTCCCAAGGCATGAACACCGGGATGAGGATGGCTATCTCCTCTAGAGGAAAGAAGGGCATGTCCATGGACATGTGTTGCAGAGAAATGGGATTGAAGTGGTGTGGAAGGTTCCACTGGCCTCTCATCGTGTTGATGAGATCTGCATTCATGTTTGGTGCTAGACGGCTGAGAACATTGTTGATCCAAACGTGGTTCAAGTAGTTGTTCATTGGAAGTTGCATGCCCTCCGATACTAGTTGAGCTAAGTAATTGGGGTTATGAAGGACAATCACTGTCTCTTGACCTTCTATGATTATGTTGAGTGAGATAGCATGACCCATCAGGCCCAGTTCTAGCCATGAAAAAGGCTGGTGATTTTGAGGTGGTGGAGTTTGAACATAGTAGGTTGGAGGGTTGGGCATTTGAAGAGGGAATGGTGGAAGATTTTCCATTGTTTGGGATCTGTGGTGTATGAGTATTTGTACCAGACGACACTTGCGTCTCAAGGTTAGAGGGATCCTTGGCATCGTTTAAGTTGGAAGAAGGATTTATAGCAGTGAAGCCTTGGGTAGTGGAAGGGGTTTCAGAGGTTGGTATAGGAGTTGGAGTTAGGGTGATGATGGAAGTTTCTACTTGCATGTTTAGGGAGTGGGATAGCGTAGGTTTTATATTAGAGATTTCCTCAGATTTGCATGAAGGCACGTGTTGATAATTATTGGCCATTTGTGAGGTTGGGGTGTCTTGGTTAGACAAGTGTGATTGCCCATTGGATTCCTGCAAAGGAGTTTGGTTTGTAGAAGACGTTTTGTTAGTGTTAGTAATAGGCAGGTTTAGGGAGAGAGATTGACATGGATCCTGCGATTTACTAATATCCATAGGGTTATTAGGGGGATCATTAGGGTAGAGGTGATCATTGGTAGAGTGCATGCCATTTGAGTTGTTAAGAGGAGGGGAGTCCACGTGGGATTTAGTCACAGAAGATAGATTATTGAGATTATTAGTATTTTTAATATTGGCATTAGAGGAGGAGGTATTCTCCAAAACCATGTGCTGATCATTTAGAAGAGAAAACCGGTTTTCCATCGATAGGCCAGAAAGATTAGCCGATCTTTCATTGGGTTCATTTAGTGTATCAAATTTTTGAGTGTATTAGCAGATATCAATTCACGAGACTTATATTTAAGAACTTGGGTGTTAAGATACTTACCTGAGTTGGCATTGAAAATACGGACTGTTATACCTGTAGGAGATTTTGCCTCCTGAGTTGTTGGGATGGAGTTGTTTCTTTTAAGAGATTGACCCTTCCTTTTATTCTTGAAGCTGCCAGTATGCCATTCTTCATCCATTGGGGTTGTTTTAGATGGGGCGGTAGTAGTAGTAGTTTCCTCCGAATTAGTTAAAACTTTAGAGTTGTCTTGTTGGGTAATTAATTTGTGCTGACATTGTCCTGTTGAGTGGCCTAGGATGCCACAGGATTTGCGGAGTAGATTCTCCCCTTCATAGAAAATTAATTGTTTATGATTTCCTATGTAAAGGAAGGGCTGAACTGGACGGTTGAGAGGTAGCTCCACACACAAACGTGCATATCTTCCATGTATTGTAGTAGAGGTGCAGGCATCGACTTTTAATAGTCTGCCTATCGCATTTCCTATCTTTTGAAGTACCAAACTATCATAAAACTCTGTTGGCAATTGCGGCAGCCTTACTCAGATGGCTGTATAAAGTTGTTTCGCTTCTGAGGCCACAAAATTGGGTTCCCAACGTTGGACAGATAAAAGATGACCAAAGATGAACCAGGGGCCATTGTGCAGAACTTTAGTCATGTTCTCTTCCTTAGTAAACTTGACAATGAAGTAGTCGGCTCCAAGATCAATAAGGGGAAAGTTTTCGTAGGGATTCTATAGCTCTGTGATTTTCCGGCGGAGGTGCTGATGGAGAATACGTTTCCCCAGTAGTTTGATTATAACTGAGAAGCGCCATGGTTGGTAGATCCTATATAGGTCTGCAGAGGATAGTTGAACCTGGCTTATGGAAGAATTGTTCTTTGAATATTGTGGGGACAGAGACTCTTGGTCTTCTAAGTCCATTGGGGAAGAGTAAAGGGTAGGAGGACCAAGGAAATAAATGATTCTTGTTCAGTTGCTAAGAGTTTGTCTCTAAAAGAGATTTTTGTGGATTGCGGAGATATTGATTCAGTAGGTATTGAGATGTTGGTGGTTTTGGTGGAAGGGTATTAGCATTAGGAGTGGCGGACCTGGTGGAACTTGGGTTGTGTGAAGAGAATAGTTATTCCACTTCGAAACAGTCTAAAGGAAAAATAAGACCCCCATAAAAAAATTTATGTATATAGTCTTTTTACCTACTTAATGATAGCTTCTCTTTTCTTTATTGGATGAGAGGGCATTACAACAGCTCATATGTATGTTGGTAGAGGATCTCATTCTTGTACAAAGGTGAACTATTTAACTACTTAATTATCTTTGCTACTTTTATTTTATTTATTTATGTTTAAATCATTTTTTATGGCATTTGATTATGTTAAACATCTACATAGAGCGTTTATATGAGAGCTTCTACAGGAAAGTTCTTTTTCTTCAAGTCAAATTTTAGTTGGTGCTCTTACTATAGCACCAACTAAAACCAGATTCTCGTCATAGAAAATATCATTATATTCTAAAACACACGTCAGCACGTGTAGGAATATGTAAAATTCGAATTTCATTAAGATTCGGAATTTAAAAACTTCATTTCATCAATCTGATTTGTATTCATTAATATGGTAAAATCTACTAAATAGTGGAATTTATTATGCATATTATATTATAAATAAGATGCAGGCCTCACCTCAATGTTGTATGTACTCAGTTGCAAGATTTTGAAGAGACTTCTCTTAAATTTATCATCCTCTGATTTCTCTTGTTTCAAGATGTAATTTTTATTTTATTTTATCTCTTCTCTCTTTCTCTTTTCTAATTTATCACTCCATTTTTTTAAAATCTAAACATTTTGTTCTATGTATGAATTTAGGTCCCAAAACAGTGATCTTTCAGAAAATAACCATGAGGAGGTTTCACAAACTTCTGATTACCATGAATCCCAAGTCTACAATTTTATGTCTCAAGAACCCTCCGTGCACCACAGGTATTTCTTTATTTATTTATTTTACACTTAAATAAATTCTTCACAACATCTTTTCGAGTATTTAAAGCAGTGGATGCCGTATATGTATATATAAGAACATTAATATTCACTTCAAACTCATTGACTTTAGATCTCGAATCGGACTTAATGTTTCTTTGTCTCTCTCCTATAGCCTCAAAAAGTATGTTAAAACAAATTGATATAGTCTCCTTACTAATTCTTTTTGTATTCACGATTTAAAAAAGGTTAAGAATTAAAAATATAGAGATTTATTTATTTATTTGTCTTTTCAGCATCTTGTGAAATTCAGAACGCATGATATATATTTGTCCGACTACAACAGAAAATAGTCACTGTTGGTGTTGCTGTTGTTGTTCTTGACATATATACATATCAATTTTTAACTAAAAAAATTATGCAAAAATATAAATTCTTATAAACTAGTACTACTAGTTTGCGGGTTATTTATCTCTTTTTAAATTTTTTGGTTTTATTTTGTAGCATCCAACAGCCATATGAACATCATCAGATTCATCACACATATGTTCAAGTCCCATCAGATCAATTTGTGGTGAATCAACATGACATGTATTCTTCCTCGAGGTATTAAATACTCTCCCACACATGTGATAATCTACACTCAACTTTCTATGTATAATTTATGCATATTCTTATTCTTGACAGGCCTGTGTTTAATCATGCTCCCGAACGCACATTTACTATCCAGCCAAATTTACCTCCAGAGGTATTTTCTTTTGAAATCTTATCATTTTTTTGTTTACAATTTTTAGAATATTTACCTATGATCTATACCACATTGTAAACTTATTTACCCTCCTAGAGGGATTATCATTTAATATATTAGTATATATAATTTATCATTTATATAAAAAGATCTATTAGACTTCGATCTTACCCATTCTCTCTCCTTCTTATACTTAAACACTAATGTCAATCAATATTTTTGTAATCTCAATAATTTTTGTAAATTCTATGTGGTATACCCGTTGAAAACACCAGTTAACTCCATATATATTTAAAATATTTATTTTACATCCTATACATATTTTATAAAACTTTATTTACTTTTTAAATCTTTAGTATCATTATATGCCACTAAACAAATCCCACATTTTAAGGGACTAGATTATCTCTCACTCCAACTTAATAAATCCGAACACTCCATCTTTCCACCAAATTAGGATTATACATTTTCACCAAAAAATTCAAACCCTAATAATTTCTCCGTTTCTAAATAAACAACCCTCTCTATTCTTTTCTATGACCCGGGGATGCAGAAGGAAGAAGAATATGAAAATGGAGCATTTGTTATGTACAAGACAATACCTCTTTACCATTTATTTGTTAGATGAAGTGTTTCATTTTTTTTGTTTTCTCTTCCATCTATGTAATCAAAAGAAAACTTAAAATAAAGTAAATATATGTTAATTTGCGACGGAATATCTAAAATAAAAGAAATATGAGAATATACTATTCAAGCTAATACCACAATATTCTAATGAAAAATGCAATATTCAAAACAAACACGTCATTATATTCTAAATTGGAATACAATATTCAAACTAAACGTACCATAATTTTTTAATAGAATACAATATTTCAAACCAAATATACCATAATATTTTAATGTGATATACATTATCCAAACCAAACATACCATAATTACAATAGATTAATGAAGAATATAGCATTCAAATCAACATACCATAATATTCTAATAAAGAATACAATATTCAAAATCAAACATATCACGTTATTCTAGTTTGAAATATAGTATTCAAATCAAATATACCATAATATTCTAATTTGGAATACAATATTCGAACTAAATATACCGTATTCTAATTTGGAATACAGTATTTAAACCAAATATACCATAATACTCTAATTTGGAATACAATATTTAAATTAAATATACCGCAATATTCTAATTTGGAATACATTATTCAAATCAAACATACTTTTATTTTATTTATTGTGTATATATTATTTTACTTGGAATATTAACATACTTTAATAGTATACAATGATTAGTTTACTGTGTAATTTTTTATTGTATAGAAGAAAATAAGGACAAAGATTTTCATAATAAATAAAAATTGTTTAATTTAATGGATAATCTTTCTTTATTCTTTAATTAATTTTGGTCTAAGTTTAAAATGAATGTAGTAAGATGTTGGATTTGCTTCGTATATATATATATATATATATAATGTTAAGGGTTCTTTAGAAGGGGTACGGTGTAAATTAAAGTTCCCATAATTTTTTGTCAACAATCACTAATATATTTCATACATCGGAAACAATCAAAGCAATAAAAAAATACATACAAGTTCCTCCATCCCCCACAATTACAAGCTTAAAGCCTAGTTGTTACTTGTTATAAAGCAAAATAATGATGTGGGTAATCAACGTTTTTTTTTTATATCATATATAGTGTTGCAATTAAGAGTGTACAAAGAAAACCTATAAACCGTACCAAATCAATAATTCAAGTAAAACCGATTGTAATTTGCATTGATTTGGTTTGTTATTGGAAAAAAATCTGACTATAAATACATTATTGAAAAATAATTGATTTGGTTCCGTTTTAACTAAAAAAGGTCAAACCGAAATCAAACCAATCCGATAGTATATTTATATAATTTTTAAAAATATTTTATAATATAAATATTTATTGCAGTGTAACTTATAAATATTTCTTAAATATTTTCACAGTTTTATCTTTTAACATATTATTCAAGTTTGAACTTAACAATCTTCTTGAATGGTAAATAAATTTTATAGCTCATAAATGTAGTGACTCAAACAAAGTTTAAATCAATACTAATATTAATGCTAACAAAAGAAATCTATTTTTTAGTTTTACATTGGTTTATAATAAGAATGCATAACTTAGTTTCGCTTTTTCTTTAGTGCTTAGTCATATAATTAATAGTACTTATTAGCTATACTTATTTGTGATTTTTTTGTTCCTATATAATATCTGAAACTTATTTACCAAAATTGTCCCTTTGTAAGTTACAACAAGGTTTGCTTACAATTTATATACAATCCATTATTAGCGTCTTAATGAAATAAAAAAAACTTCACACGATAAATGATATTTTAAGTGACAACAGCATCATACAAATTTGTATGTTATAAAGACATACAAATTAAAAATAAATTTCTTACAAATTTAGTACATCTACAGCAACATATAAACTAAAAATAAATTTTATATAACTAATTATATAGTATAAAACTTATTTATAACTTATCTACAACTTTCATACATAATTTTTACCCAGTTAAATACAACTACAACATCATACAACTTAAATATATTTTTCATACAAATTTTATACAATATTTCTTTTGTATTTATGTAATGATTTGTATATATTTTGTATGTAGTGTATTCTTCTTCCTCTCTGAATTTCAATCAAAATTTTCTCTCTTAATATAATTTTTATACATATCGACAACTTTATGTAAAAAGATAGTATTTTAAATATAAATTTCACACAATGATTCATATATTATACAACTATTTTTTAATTTTTATACAACATTCAAATATAAAAATATATAACTACAACATAATACATGATTGAGAATATTTTTTTGAGTTTATATCTCAATTTGAGGGAGTTCGGTGAAGATTCGAGTTGGAATTGGTTTAAATTTAAGATTGAAACTCGATGAAGACATAAGTAAATTACATATATTCTGTATGTCGGCAGTCGACATACAAAATATATACAACTAACATAATTGTATACAAGTTGTATACAAATTATATATAAATTGTAGCTTTGACCGATTCTGGACAACAAAAACTTATATTCAGTTGTATATAAATTGTAGATTTGTATATATTTTGTGAAACAAATTTAATTACTTTTTGTAAATAGAAAAATTTAGCTAAACTGGATATATAAGTTTAAATATTTGTATATATACGAAAAAATCCCACAATTTTTTAGCCAGTAAAAATAAGAATAGGCAACGAGGAAAAAGGTGAGAAGGCCTTTGTTGAAATTCCCATATCCGACTGGGATGAGTGATTTGGTCTCTTTATATAAATTGTGGATATTTTTACCTCATAATTCATAAATTAGTTTTTGGATTGAGTTATACATACTCAAACGTATGGGGAGTCATAGTTCCCGCATTGCTTGTGGATGAGTGATTTAATCTTTTTATCAAAATATAAACTTTACATAAGATGAAGATACAACCAGTTGCTTTATTGCCCTTTAATTGGTAATGCTAGTAATTAGGGGTGTACAAATGAAACCGACAAACCGCACCAATCCGATAATTCGAGTCAAACCGAGAAAAAGAATCCGACTATGATTTGGTTTGGTGTTGAAAAAAAAAATCCGACCATATTTGGTTTGGTTTGGTTTGGTTTTAACTAAAAAAAGTCAATCGAAATCAAACCAACCAGACATTATATGTATAAACATTTTAAATTTATTAATACATCAAAATATTTATTGTAGTGTAGTTTATAAATATTTCTTAAGTTTTTGCATAGTTTTATCTTTTCACGTATTATTTCAAGCTTGGACTAATATCTTTTGGATGATCCAATAAGTTTTATAGTTCATAAATGTTAGTAACTTAAATAAATCCTAAATCAATATCAAATTAATATTAATGCTAATAAAAGACATTCAATTCAATTGTTCTATGAATGAAAATAGTGTTAGATATTTATTTTTTAGTTTTTTCGTGGTTTAGATAAAATGAATAACTTATTTTTCTTTTAGTGTTTAGTCATGTAAATAATAGTACTTATTAGTCATACTTATTTTAGCAACTTATTGGTAATTTTAAATTATGTTTGTTTTCATTATGGCTTATTAATAATACTTACTTTATGCGATTTTATTATCTTTATTGTTGAATATTTTAGTACAATGCCATGACTCATCTCATATTTATGTTATTTTATTGAAAAACGCCTTATAACTAGGATTAAAGAAATATTTGTAGCACAAATTCTATATTTTGTGCTATGAAGACTTTATGGAAAAACCGGGAAAAAAAAACCGAAAACCCGAAAAACTCGAGAAAAACCGAGATCGAATAACCCCAATTTTTATTGGTTTGATTTGGTCTTTAGATTTAATAACCCGATATAATTGGGTTGGTTTGGTAATTAAAAAACTCGAACCAACAAGACCTATGTACACCCCTACTTGTAATTCTAACATTAATATGAATGTTGCTTTTGTTGTTCCTCTGCAGGGATACAATGTCAACTCTAATAGGGCTGCCATTCCTTCAATGAGAACTCGAACTCGTAATACGAGGGTACGATGGTCAAGTTTTTTTTCCTTTTTTCTTCTTTCTCTTGAAAATTACTATACAAGGTTTATTAGAATTATTTTTTAAAATTATATAAATGCAGGCTAACTACGGGAGAGGAAGAATGCCAATATTGCGTGGGTCATCTTCGCGTTCAGGAGTATGTCTAATTCGTATTATTTAATCAAAGTTTAAAATTAATTTATGCATGTAGTTTATTTTGTTATATAATTATTTTTAAAATGCATGTTATATTGTGCATTGGTTCCAAATCGGTAAAAATTTATTCGTAGCAGATGTTTATACTTAACTAATAAAAGCACAATATGTATTTTGCACATGAACTTCAAACACATAACCATGATCAATTATATATGTTCTCAGTTCATTAAATCACTTAGCTATAATACGTTAAATCACATACGAATGGCATATTTGCATTTTTTTAAATATTATTTATGAAATAAATGCAGAGAGACGTCATTCGGAGAGAATACATGGAGACGACAAATCAACAAAATCCAAATGTTTCACGGAGTACCCACAGGGATCATCCACAGGAGCCACAGAATCCACGGACTATGTAATAAGAAATGTCTATTACCACTAATTATGTATCTTTCTAGCAGTATATATCCTTAATTTTAACAAAATTATTACTATTATTTTTAATAATTAAAAATAAAGAAGAGATTGTGAAATCAATTGATGAGTAGCAAAGTTGCAATGCAGACCAATTCGTAACAGGCTATACGATCCAAGTTATGCAGAGATTGGACAGCCGGTTGATCCTTATTTACGCCTTATGGAGTTGAATCCAAACTTCTGTAAGCAATTATTTTTCATATATATTTTACTTTGGCATATATAGCATTTTGTTGACAGATTATATTTTTGCTTAATTGTCAGGCAATAATAGAGACAACGAGTGAAGAGCAGATTGGGCTGGCCAGAGCTTTTGATGGCATCTAGCAAAGAACAAAAACTATGAAGGTTTTTTTTGTTAAACTGAAGAACAAATACCGGCTTATTTTGAATTTTTTTTATATAAATTTTTTATTTATTTTTGTGAGGAAGTATGAAAAAAGGTTCGATGAGGATCGAATTCATACCTCTATTATATAAAAGTTTTACAAACTATACTCCCTATTCAATTATCTTGCTATGAATCTTTCTCTCCTTTTTCGGGGGGGCTTAATAATATCTATTTTTATTTTGATTTATGGTGTGTTCTTCAATTATTAATTTTTTTTTATGTTATCAAAATAATTGATTTTTCTTCCTTCAAAGTTTCAAGCGCTATGAATATTAAATTCCATCGCAAAAATATTTCACAAATTCATGATTTAGATTTTTGTGCCAATGTTTATTTGACAAAATAATACTCGACACTCCCTCCGTTACAATTTATGTGAATCTGTTTGACTGAGCACGGACTATAAGAAAAAATGAAGACATTTGGAATTTGTCTAGGGGTGTGCATTCGAATCGGTTTATCGCTAAATCGAATCGATTATTTGTTATCGGTTTATCGATATCGGTTTATCGATTTATCGATTTCGATTTCGAGATTTTCCTTATCGAGTTATCGATTTCGATTTCGATTTTGCCCTCTTCGGTTATCGGTTTATCGATAAACCGATAAGATATACTAAAAAGACAACAAAAAAAAATAATTTTTTTTTTACCCTTATTCTATAATACCCTTTCCTTTACCTAAGTACCTAGCCCTATTATTTCCTCTACCACATTTAAGGAATGATCATATTTAAAGCTCAAGGGAATGAAGTTCAAATTAATGGAAAACAGAATTAGCCGTGATGATTTTTTTTTTTTATACCGTTGGAGTGTTGGTGGCATACATTTGATCCCTTACTTTAGTTTCGTTGCATGTGCTTGTTGACACAATTTTTATGTTATAAACGGTGTTCGTCTTATTTTAGCTTCTTTTTGTCCATATTAGTTAGGCGTGTTTATAGCGATATACTTTCCGTGGAATCCCGCAAATTTTCTTATTGGTGTAATCGATAACCGAATCGATAAGCCCCAAAAATCGATAAATTGAAATCGAAAAAATCGAAACCTTATTGAAACGATAACGATAAGCATATGTACAAATCGATAATCAATAAGTAATTATCGATAAGGGTCAAAATCGAATGCACACCCCTAGAATAGTTTAAGCTTGATAAAATATGAAGATTCCTGGTTAAAGTTCAGCTGATTTTACGACAAGCACACAGGGCCTTTTCTGTTTCGAAAACTAGTCATTGGATTGTTTAACAAGCGCCAAACAGTGTCATGTCCCAAAAAATCTTATCCAGGAGTATAATAATATGAGTAATTACAGTCAAAGTGGGCGGCTTGAGGAAAAGCTTTAATTTATGAAAACTTTATATTAAAAAAAATCAGAAAATTACTTGGTCTCCAAGTACATGAATTTTAATCAGCTACCAAAGCCTAATGACAACACGTTCCCCTTGCTTCCCAAGCACTCAAGCGCTTATAAATAGCAGAAAGAATAATACATTGTTACTTCGCCAGAAAATAGAGCAAAGGTCAGCAAACATAGAGAGCCATGTCTCAAGTTGCTGAAATTCATGTAATGCAAAAACATCACAAGGAGAAGATGAAGAAAATCAAAATGGACGAGAAAGGAAGTTGTTAATGAAGATAATAAGACTTGTGGTTGTGGGAAGAAAGTTGTTTCTGCTATTAGGCAATTGCTTAGTTGTGGAGGGTAGCAAACCTGCAATAATATGGGATTAC